TTACAGTTCTCATAATCATGAGCTTTTGTGGGATATCACATATTTAAACCACAACAGGACAGCAGGGAAGCTTCCCTATGTTTACATACTAGCTCTACCATCTAAGAGTGGAAGATGACTAAACTCTTGGTTGACAGTTAAGTGGGAACATGACTATTTTTTCAGAATAAGTATGGTGGACTCTTTGGTGCAGCTATGCAAATCCAAAAAGGAGTTGCCTTGGCAACTGGGAGTACTGTCAGCAGACTGTCCTTAAGTGGTCATCCCCTTCAAGAATTGTGTCAGCTGCAGACAACTGCCTTGTCTAAGGCTGTGACACCTCCCAGAGAATCCTACATCCAATTACTGAGGGATGTGGGAGCATAAACTCCTGACTTTCTGGGGAAGTCACATGCTGGAGCCAGCTTTTCCTGACTCTTGAGACCTGACTGTATACTCTACACTATGTTCTGTGATGGTATGTCTAGATTCTGAAATTAGATATGATAGAGGTATTTACATCATGGAAATTGGTAAAGAAATTGAGGTTTTTGCTTTTTCAGAGTTGGTTTATCAGCACACCACTGTTCTAGGCCCAAGCCAAGATTACTCTGCAGCTCTGAAGGATCACTCTATCTCTGAGATATTTGTGGGGTTAGCTGAGGCTGTTTTGGGGCCTTATGGCTGTGACTCTTCCCCTAATTTGACTCACCTTCCCTCCCTTGAACATATGTTGATTCCAAGGGCACTCCTTGCATGCCAAACTCTATCAAAGTCTGCTGTCTGAAGAATCCAACTTGCCAAAACAACTCTCAATGCTTTTAAACTTTAAACTTTGCAGATGACTTAGGCATTTTATCAGGAATGCTGGGCTTTTCCAAGAAGAAAGTAGAAAATATATCATACAAAAAGGTTCTATTCCATATCAAGATTAAGACAGCTTTCCTTTTATAAGGTTTTAAGTTTCTGGATGATTCTCTCAACCAGTAAGCTCTTAATAAAGTTTCCTGGTTAGTAGTAACCATTATACAAGCTACTATGAACCCATGAGGACAATAAATTTCTGCAGAATATGCTTGTTGAATGGCCACATTCAAATCTCCTGATGAAAGAATCTTTCTGTAAATTCTATCACTTATTCTTAATCTTTCTGGTTGAAAAGGCTTTAATAAGTGATAGTAGGGGGACTCATTGAATAGTTTGCTTTGCTAAAAGCTTTTTAGTATTTTTTCTTATTGATTGTTCAAAACATTACAAAGCTCTTGACATATCATGTTTCATACATTAGATTCAAGTGGGTTATGAACTCCAATTTTTACCCCAAATACAGATTGCAGAATCACATCGGTTATACATCCACATTTTTACATAATGCCATATTAGTG